CCTTTAAGGTGCTTCTGTGTGAGTGGACAATACTAAATGACATGAAGACAATTACAGTGTTGTTAAAAACTCTACTGAAATTATTACAAGAGGACATAAAATAAAACCGTCAGCTCTAATGAAAACAATTAACTCGCAAGACTGCAGCTCACCCAGATATTTTAAAGGATGTTTAATGTCTGCTGTTATGAGCCTCACATTGCATTAATGGAATACTACCAGCAGTATCTTTCAGTGTTTGTCCCCAGGCACAATATCCAGTGAAGATTGCATTTCCTTAGGGAGAAACTCACACATTTGTGCACATCCGCAGTGTGCTGTACGTGCAAATTAACATGAAAGAGGCAACCCAACTGGAAAATTCATGCTCATGTAAAAACACACCAGTATGCAAACATGTCATGTTTTTCTCTTGTGTTTGAATGTGATTTTGTAAAGACATTGATGTTATGTTTTGGGGTTGATTTGGTAAAATATTAAGAATCACTAATCTCATCCGCCCACCCACTCACACACACACACACGCACGCACACACGCCTCAACACATGAGCAAAAAGCCATAACTACATGCCCCCACCTCTCCATCCCCACACCATGTCATAAACCACCAGAGCATCGTAAGAAGACATTGCAGCACTGTTGCAGCACAATGGGCAGGAGAATTTGCACTCCCGAGGCTTTTACTTCTAACCATTTGCACACACACTCTTACACATGACCACACACGCAAAACACACACTGTAATCCACAGGTAGATGTTTTGGAGGATTTTTTTCACTTAAATTAAGATGGAATTAAGTTTATTTTTCATTCAATCTTAACCGTGCAAAGACTCAGAGCACACGTGGGAGAGAAAACCTGCAACTACTTCAACAGAATCCTTCCTCTCCAGCTGGAGAGTTTTCACTCTAGTCAGCACGCGCACACACACCCGCACACACACTTTCAATCAGTCACTCGGCTTCCTCTGAGCTGTGGTCACTAGTCAATAACAGCACCAAAAAAAAAAAAAAAAAAAAAAATCAACATTAACATCTTTGCTTCATTTCTGTTCCAGAGGAAACAAGTGTGAAAGCTTTACCTTGAGTCCCCTGCAGATCCTTTAGAAGCTGGACTGAACATCTCGCAGTCAGTGGATGGTGCAGCATCAGCAGAAGAGCAGAAAAAAGGAGAAAGAGATGGTGAGTGTGTATATCTGTGGGAAACAAGAGGAGAGAGGGAGAGAGAGTGAGGGGAAACGGAGCACATATAGGGGGTGGGTACGGCATTGAAGCCCAGGGTAGGGCAGCATCATGAGATGAGAGACAGTGAGAAAATGCGTATGCGTGCGCGCGTGTGTGTACGTGTGTGCGAAAGAATTGGAGACAGTGTTACCATGGAGAACGCTACGCCTAACTCCTTTAAAGCCTTTTAAGGCCAAATGATGAAAAACAGAGGAAAAAAAAACTGAGGTTGGGAGAAAAGAAAAGGGCAGGTTATGTTTTTAGGCAAAGGCAGAAAAGGACAAACTAAATGAGCAAAACAGAGTTGGTGGACAAGGAAATAAATAAGAACAAAGAGGGAGGAGGAGATAAGGGCACCGAAAAGTTTAAATATCACAACCTGTGACAAGACACATCGATATCTGACAGAGACAAAAAGATCACATTAGCCTCTTTATATGTACATGTACAGACATGGCAAAAAAACAAAATTCCAGGGTTTCAGTGAGTTATTGTGGTCCCAACCAGGTTCTTAAATTATTCTAATTTAACCCTCTAAGCCCAAAGTCGGTCCTGGAGGGCCGGCATCCTGCACGTTTCAGTTCTCTCCCTGGTAACACTAACATGCAAATTGTCAAATTTTATCACTGCATTTAAGTCCAGACTTTTCCTGCCATTCTAGCACATCAGTACAGTTTGATATGAAACATGTCATTGTACTATGGCTCATAGTTTTCAATTACTGTCCTAATGGGCAGTAGTAATCCTTTGCCCTACTTTCAAGTTTTTTTTCCCAGCCTTAAGCTGGCTGTTATCCAGCATTGAACTGAATGACAACTGTCACAGCATGATGTTCTATTGTTTTGGTAAGTTTGTGACTGTGCCAATAGGGCTGTGTAAAATGTTCAAAGCATGAGATACTAACCTCCTGCTGTTGGCCAAACAAATGCTTCAAAATTTAATTCTGTTTTTTTGTTGTTGTTTTTTTGCTTTTTTTTATTTTCTGCGTCTTATTTATGTTTTTAAGTGTTGCAGGTGGCTGGTTGCACAAACCATATCTCACGACTACATCACTCTCTCAACCTGTTCCATGTTTTTTCAGATTCATAATTGTGGAGAAAAAAAAGCTTAAAACCATGCAGTTTTCTGTTTTTCAAAAAATCTGCACTACTGTGTGATGGTCCATAACACCAAATACCAACACAATGTAGGTATAATGGGATACATTTAGAGATGTTGAATCAGTATAGATACAATTTAAGGCATGGTATGCATTTATAGCATGTGATTTATGCAATGGGAGTTACAAAAAAAACAAAAATGTTTTTTTTAAAATCTGCTTAGCATATTTTGATGGTAAATAAACATAAAATATTCCAAAAATGCTAAATTGCATGCATACACAATGAACATGATGTGACTTTCTTCAGGATTGGTGAATTCGCTGCTTTAACCTCAGAAGATTTGTGCTGGAAGGGTTTAGTCTAAAGGTCAGTGATTCTGATATCTAACACACAGGGTCAGTGGCACACACACTCAAGTAGCGAACACTATGGGATAATGGTTGTGTTTTATTCAATAAAGTGGATTCCCTTTTGCAATACAAAAGCTATCAATTCAGCTGCACATATAGATGCATGTGTGCGGTATGTGACTGATGTGCAGCTCAGAGGCTGCAGCTTTCCATTAATGGTTCTAAACAGAAAAACATCAGCCCCTTTAAACTGTTTCTTATTGATTCTGATGATTTTTTTGTTGTTTTTTTTTTGCCTGCAGCTCTAGCAACACACATGGACAGAGAAGTCTGACTGAGAGAGAAAAAGCAAGAGCGGATAGCGGGTTTAATGAAATCTTTGTTGCTTAATTAATAGCGAAAAGCAGACCAGGTGAGTACTCACAGTGTTGGTCATTCTTTGTGCAAGGCACACTGTTTTTATTTGTTGAATTAATTTTGAGAATGCTTTTCCCTTGATTTCCACACAGCTTAATTCTTAGGTCTCCTTTGTTCTAATTGGTCCAACCGGTTGGCGTTGTCTTGGAAACCGGTTTAAAAAGTGCTGGCTTGAGTTCTGCCAAAGGTTCAGATAAAATTAGCTGCAGTGACCATTTGGAGCCTGTATGGTAGCGTATATGCACACAGAGAGCAGTCAACACACAGAACATCATGTTGCTGAACAGTGAAATCATTTGTTTTGTTTGAGTCAATAATGTTTCAGATCCCACGTTTGCAGAGGACATGAACTCAAACTCCTCTGAATGAAAGGTCTTACATTAAAGAAAGGAGAATACCCAAACCATACATTACTTGTACAGATTGAAGAACTATTTTTATGATCCAAACCACAGGAGTGTTGGCAGGTGTTGGATTGTGACAGCTGGTATCACTGCTGCATGGTGTCTGCCATAGTAACATGTCTCCCCCATAGGCCCAAATCTGTCGTACTAACAAGTGATGTGTCAGAAGATTAGTCAGGGCAAGCTGATGGCACCTGTCATAGCCTATATGCCCAATTATTTATAGGCCTTTCTTTCATGCAGTTAGTTTTTCTTGACATAATCATACAACACTGCAAGTACCATCTTGCCTTCACAACTTCAGTTGACAGTAAGGTCTCCAAAAGTATCTGACAGCAGCACTACCCATTTTCCACCTGACTAGTTGCATTTAAAATACTGGGATCAAAGGTCATTAGAGGAAGCAACATTTGTCGTTTTAGTTTCTGTTGTCTTTCCAGCATCTTTTCTAGCACCAATAAAATTTTCAATCACACAACTACTGCTTGCTGGATATTTTCATTTTTCAGACCATTCAGTGTGAACCTGAGACGCAGTTTCACAAATCATATAAAACTGCTGTTTGTTGAAATAATGGCACCCTGGGTGAGCCCATACTTTTGTAAATACCCTCCATTCAAAATGCAGAAAATTAACTTTGATTTTGATTCGGAATAAAATGCAGTAATGGCTGATGCATGTTAACATTTTGTATTAAAGCTTTGTATTAGTATGCACTTTTCCTCTTCCATCCTTTACATTTTACAATCTGGACCTTTTATGGCACCATTTAATATCACGGAGGACTGCTAAAAAGATAACTAGTGACACGAAACTTACTCCTCAACAGAAAATGTTGCCTTCCTAATACAACTCCTCTACCAAAGCATGATATAAAATCTACATAATTTAAGTGTGCAGTATTTCAACTTGTGAAATATAAAGTTTTCTTGTCTCATGTTGTGTTGCTCAATAAATGTGTTTATCAGAGCTGTAGCTTTACTGCTCCAGATTCTGCAGCAATGACCTTGTGTAGGAGGATGTTCCAGCAGGCTCCTTTGTGTTTTCTTTTCTCTATAGAGTCCAACTATTGCTCAGTTGCAAGGTTTAGTTAATAGTATGAACTATCATTATTATAATGATGACATATTTGTAATCAAGATCAAGATGCAATAGTGATCTTGATTAAGATGTCAAAGATAGACATTTGGTTGTGTCTACCTTTTGGCTAAATCATTCGTCATCTTGCTTTAAATTTATAATTCATTATTGATCCCGAGAATCCAAGTTCAAAGGAGAAGGTACAAAAATAATAAAATAGAAACTCCTATCATTTTGAAATCAGGTGATGTGAATGCTATAGCCAACCTTCATGAGTCTCGTCACTCAGGATCTGGTTGAGTCGCCTAAAACCCAAACAGAGGGGGGCTGGACTCTGGTTTATGTCAGTAAAACATATTTCAAATGTTTCTGGCTCTTGTTCCATTGTATGCAAATAAAGTTCAAAGTCAATGTTTCAAAGAAAAGAAATCTGAGAGAAAGTACAAAGAAAGCTATCTCAGACGCTGGGACATGTTGTTTCTGATTTTACGAGTCACTGCACACTTTACAAAAAAAAGTACATGACAGGTAGACCTGCTTTGAAGAAAAAGATTTTAGAGACAGAATTTTTCATTGCTAATAAATTATGCAGTTTAGGTTCTCTTTTTTTTCTAATTACATTGTGAATACAAACCAATGAAATCAATAATGAGCTGCAGAATAATTAAAGATGGACACACAGGTAAACCAAGATAATACATTTTTCACTTCACAATAATAGCACAGACAATACAAAATAGAATAAAAAAACTAAGTAAATGTGAACATAGTTGATCTATGCAAAATATTAGAAAACCTTTTGATAACAATAACCAATATTGTAATGATTATATAAAGTGTTTTGTCCTTTGCATCTGAGACAGGTGCAGTATCAGAGTAAAGGGAGGTGTGGCGGTGATTTATGTTTCAGAGATAGAAACATGCAAGATTATTAACATGAGATTGGAAAGATAATGTGCTGTCAAGGATGACACCCAGACTCTTAACCTGAGGGGAGAGTTATTTTCCCCTCAGGTTTCCCTCAACATAGAGATCAAAATCTCTCTGTTGCTGGTGAGAGAGATTTTGTTAGCTTTTGATCATTTAAACTTCGTACCAACGGGGAGAATTTCAGTTTTATCATCATTAAGTTTGAAGTGAACCAAGATTTTACTTTAGATAGGCAGTTGGAAAAAGATGAGGCTGGAAGAATTGATTTACTAGATTTACTAGAGAGGTACAACTGGGTGCCAGTTGCAAAATTATGAAATCAGGTGTTAAATTTATGAACTATGTCCTGTGGGGAGGAAGAAAGGGATGAAGAGGAGGGGCCAAAGGACTACAGAGATGACAGAGGGAAGTTGAGATCTGAATGACTGGAGTTGGATGACCTAACTGCAACCTCAGAAATATGACTTGAAATTCATCTAGTGGTGCAGGAAAAGTTGAGAGGGAAAGTAAAGCAAAGAAATTAAGCTTAGTTATAGGTGGAGCATTTGAATCGTCATTTAATTTTATATAAAACAACTTTAAGGGACTGCGCAACTGTCAGTTGAATAGGAGTGTGGAGGTATTTGGGTGTCTGTGGATTGAGTGAGTTTGTTTCTGTAGGTTTTTTTTGTAACAGAATTACAGGGTTCCCTTCACTGGGACAAATAATACAGCAACCTCAGAGTCCCAGAGCATCAGTGGTCACATTACAACCCAACAGGACATTTCCAGCTTCCACACACACTGTCACGCAAACAGCTGAGGAAAGAAAACATAAATTAATGTCTCAATAAGGTCAAACATCAGTGCAGGTGTGCCAAGAAAGAAACTTAATCTGGTGTTTACATTTAAGGACAGTGATTACCTTTCTCAGCTCTGAGCCACGATGCAGCCTTCATAGCAAGAAGTTCCCATTCAACCTTCACATCTTTTTGATATCCATGAAGCCAAATTAGAGCCAAAATGGTGCCCCACACTTTCCTTTCGGCCTAGTTCACCAAAATAAAAGAAAAAAGATGTTGGAAAAATAAAAGAAAATCTAATATGGAATCTGTTTTCTCTGTGATTTTAAGTTCATGTTATGTTCTTTTCCTCATGTTTTTGCTGTCAAATTTCATGCTTCATTTTGCTGCTCAAATATAGCTCATTTTTTACGTGATGCCAACCCACCGATGAAGGCCTTGTTTTTACCAACTCCTCGATGCTTTTGCCAAGAGCAGCAGCCAAACATGGATCAAGCAGCCAGCAGCCAGAGGCATCCTGCAGCGAAACGAGCTCCAGCAGTGGATCTCTGGCTGGCTTTGTGGGCTCACAGTCTCCTTTATCACAAACAGACGTTTTTGAAGAGAATATCAAAAGTTGAAATCACAAATACAACACCTTAAACATGTTTGCATAAATTTGAAAATACGATAATGCAGACTGCCGTTAAAAAGACAGATCCATCCTGCTGCTTGCTAGTATAGAATTAAAATTGTAAATGCAAATTGCATTTATAACATCAAACACTTAAAACAAACGAACAAAAATTATATATATATATATATATATATATATATATATATATATATATATATATATAATATATATATATATATATATATATATATATACATATATACACACACACACACACAAAACACACATGTATGCTTACAATGCATGGTTGAAAAACATACTGAGCCCTTTGCTGTCATTGTCAAAACAAAATTACTTGTTATTGTGGGACTTTTTACCTCCAATCTCAATAAATAGTTGCCTAAACTAAGGGGTGGATTTTTCTAGATTTTTCAGTTCAAGTACGCAGGTGTAGGTTCGAGTGCTTATACAGAAAAAGAGACGCAGTTATTTCATGGCTTTTTACTCATTTGTAAAAAAAACAAACAAAAAAAAGACAAATAGGGGGAATGTGGCAATGTCTTTGAACATTTATACGAGCCTTTCGGGTGATTACTTCATGCATTCAGAGAGATAAATACAAGCAAGCACAAAGTGACAAATAAAACCACATGTTGAATATATATTATTTTTGAACCATGTTAAATAAACATCTGATATCTGTATGTTTCTTGAGTCAAAAATATGTTGCTTACCTGAAAATAGATTCTTTTTCCAAGCTTTTCCTGAAGATAAGAAATAGATTTTAAAAAATAAATTCTTTACTCATAATTTTTAAATAAATAAAAAAAGTATGTTTGTAAATATAAAGATAATGACACATTTGATGAATTGACTGCCAGGTAATAAGACCATATTGGGAAGAGCTCCATAAACACATTGAAAATATATTTAATGTGAACATTCCATTTAAATGTGAAACAATGTATCTGGGCAACTTGCGGTTGGACAATTGGACCAATTCAGACAAAAAGCTGCTGGCTATCCTACTGGCAGCCAGTAAGAAATGCATCACCAGGAAATGGCTGAAACCGGACTCACCTACTGTGGATGAATGGATTGAAATAGTTTATCGGATTTATGTTATGGAAAGAATTTCTTTCTCCCTTCAACTTGAAAAAGGTAAATTTTATAAGATCTGGACCAAATGGACTGAGTATGTAAAACCAGTCAGATCAGACTTCACTTGATTGTTCTTGTGAATTATGTGTGCTACCATTCAATATTCTTGAGATCTTCTATTGCTTGAAGTGGTGCGATTCCCAATTTTTAGTTATTTTTTATTTTTTATTATTATTATTATTATTTTATTTTATTTTTTATTTTTTTGTGTGTGTACAATTTTGTTCAAATTTATTACCGTTTACAACTAAAACTGTTAAAAAATACCAGAAAGGCAATATGGACAAAACCACCTGGATTCCATGCTTTCACCACATGTACGACCTCAAATGGGTAACGCTATAATTATTGTATGTGATTGAAACTTGTCTTTCTAAATAAAATAAAAAATAATAAATTAGCAAGGTGAAACAGTATAATGAGTAATCCAGCCAATCTCCCACGGGCCAGATAGATATCCAACAGTGCCCTCTACAGGCCAAAATGTGACAATACATACAGGCCATCCCATATAAAGGAAGAAATGTCAGGGCTTGTTGCTTACCGAACTTACTAGCTGATGTTCTTTTTCTGATGGACGAGCAAATGCGTCTGAAAACTAAAGAAAGAATAAATTATTTAAAAGTCATTGTGTTTTATCACATAAATAATAATAATGAAAAAATTATTTAACATTCCCACGCTGTCTTACGGTTTTGCGAGGGGACGGAAAATAAAAAATAAAAAAAAATTCCATGCCCCCCAGGGCGCTCCGTAAATAATTTATTCTCCGTAAAGAATACATTATTTAAAAGTCATTGTGTTCTATCACATAACTAATAATAATAATTAAAAAAAATGTTTAACATTCCCACGCTGTCTTACGGTTTTGCGAGGGGACGGAAAAGAAAAAAAATTCCCATGTCCCCCAGGGGGCTCCGTAAACTTAGTCTGATCTCTTAAAAAACAGTTAAAATGTCAAAACAGGTTTAAACTTACTGTTTGTTTGACCCCCTAAACCATGAAACAGACCATAGTCACGTAGCACTGGCACTGTACCAGAAAACAGTACAGAGTTATACATCATTAGATGAAAAAAACATTACATTCCAGCCATAAAACAGGAAGTACCAACAAAAGGACCTCTGATCAGAATTATGTACTCAACACACAACATGCAACCATTAAAAACAATGCCTCTTTTCAGATTGAGCCACATGTAAAATAACTCACTGTATGTAGGATTCTCCCTGTAGATCAGCGGACCTTGAACAGGTTCCTCATTGCTTTTGTTGACGGCAATGAAGGCGGTGAAGATGCTGCTGACTCCAGACTGGACACAAAGGTCCACCACCTTCTCTATTCTTTCAGGCTGCAGCCAATGCTCCCTGTGCTCCTGCTCCAGGGAGCGGATGAGATTACGAGCAGCCAGCCTGTGGATTGTGGAGCTGCGCGGCAACAAAGCAAATAATAAATAAAATATTTCCCCTTACACAGAGGGAAAAATATAGCTCCAGGTGTATTTTTCGGTCTAAATTTAAATGAAAAGCAACCATTACTTTTTAAACATAACATTTTATCACCAGAGTTGTTAATACACTACCAAGTGAATGGCAAATCTTCTTTCTGATCAAAGTCTAGATGACATGCAGGCTGTAAAGAGAAGTGCAGCTGGTTCTGGCATGGATGACCTGCTGTGGTAAACCTCACCGTCAAACAGCCATCAGCTGCTTCAGAATACTGAGAAAGCACAAAGGAAATCCATCTGTTACTTTGATTGTACACCAAAAGAGAAGTACATTTATAGTCAATCCCAGAACTGTGTTGCTGCTTGCCTCTCCGGTGAGTTGAGCAAAAATCAGTGACCTCTGACCCTGGAAAAGTGCTGTAAGTGGTAGAGACAGAGCGGTGGCAGAAACACCCTCCGGTAAATCCCACAACAATGAAATGTCAGTGACGAGCGGCTGCAAGGCGAATCTCAGGGACTGCATCACCTGAGGAGAAATTTTAACTTTCTCTCAATAACTTTATCATATCTAAACTGTGAACATGAATAGTGAGAGAATATCATTTTGAAAACTAAATTCAGGTTACCGGAAAGGCTCTGATGGCGTCACTTTAGCTCTCTTGCGAAACAAAATAACAGAATTTAAACATTTCAATAGATTTTCAGAACTTAAGTATTTTGGGGGTTTTTTTAGTATTACTTGTCTTTTTTTTTCAGTGTGTGTAAATATCTGGGTTGAACTGTGTGACTTTTCTGGGAAAAAACATTTCTGTCTGTGCGTGCTCCTGACTTGTGAAATTAAACACAAACTTAAAAATTAAAACTGAAGTCGTTTCCAAAAAATGATCATTAATGTAATCATTAAAATTTATTATTTAAACTGATGCTACTAATTTGTTTTGTATTGTTCGGAGTTCATCAAAGTTTTTTTTTTTTTTTTTCTGTTTTCCATTTGCATTTTTAGTGTTCTGCATTTGTTAATGCACGGAAGTTGCCTAAATAAGGAAAAACACACGACTGACTGAATTAAATTAAATTATTCTTAATGCAAAAAGTAAAACATGCAAATCTTTTTAAGTTATATCTCACTTTTGGTTGCATCCTTTCTTTCCCTATGATGAACTGAGCGTGTCCTCCTCCCTCTCTGGCCATCCCATTGATAAGTTCAGAACTGGCACCTTCTCCAATCCCAAAAGAGAAACACCTGGAGTACAGAAGCATAAGCTTTCTACACATTTGTAAAATTTGCCACATTTTACAACACATAACATTTAGACTGGTGTCCAGAGCTGGACACTATTGTATTGCAGTGGTGTTTACCTGTGAAATTCAGAGTATTTCTTTACCTCATCCAGAACAGCTTTTGTGTAATCCACCTCACCATCAGTAAAGACAAAGAGCTAAAAATAAGGAGAAATTATTTAAAATTGTAACCTGTAGGGAGGAAAAACTGTTTTCAGATGAAAGACATAATACAAGAATACTGGATCTGGCAAATTTTCAGCTTGATAAGCTGATGATAACACTGCTGTTTTTACCGATTTAAAGTGATCTGTTTTAGCATCAGAGAGGCAATTTAGTAAGAAGAGAGAGGAAACAAAGGCAATACTTTAAAAGACAACTTCATTTTCTACAACATGTCTGCAGTTCATTCAGGCTGTGAGAAAGTCTAAACAAACTGCACAGAGTTTCCCTCTAATGTCTTTTGAGCTTTCAACCTGCCTACTATGGACTTTGACATCTCAGATTTAAGCTACAAATCTACACTTTAGATTAAAGTGTGTGTGTAATAAATGAAATCCCAACAGATGTTGACCACACTGAAATTTGAATGTTTTAATAAACTCAGAATTTAAACTTATCTAAACACATTAAAAGCTTAGTCATAAATCTAAATATAAACGACATAATCCAATTAATGGCTTAATCTCAGCAATGTTTAAGGAGTTAAATAGAAAAATATGAATAATACCATTGCATTATATTATGACTTCACTATTTTAGATCTCACCTTTCTTTCCCCCTGCCAATTATTTACATACATTTTTTGATCAAATAAACATAAATACTTTAAAGAGTTGAAATGTAAAAACTCCTAACCCCTGCAGTAACTGTGAACTGTGTTAGGCTTAAGTTTTCCTGCCAGTGTCAGCTTCCTGCATCATGTGTGTTTGTGCATTACTTGTCTGGGATGGTTAGGGATACAGGGCTGTCTGTAAATTTGTCGCAGAGGCTCCAGGATCTCGGATCCTCCCAAATTAGCGCCCATCTCCTCAACTTTTTTCATAGCCCGTTTGAGGTTCTTCTGATTGTACTTGGCGCTTTTGCTGTTGGAGAAACAGTGCACACTTACTGCAAGTCTGTAGACCTATTGAATCAGATTATCTATGAAAGTCCATATTAAACTCTTTGTGCATCTATTGTGTCCCCCTGGTAAAGATGTGTAAAAAGCCTTAAAATAAAATAATCTAATTACAGTTATGTGTGCAATGTCACACACACACTTAAAAATAAAATATTAAACATATATACCCAAAGAATATGAAGTCCTACTGGTACACTGAATGCAGGTTGTGAAAAGTATTAACTGCAGAAATGTCAATAAATGTGGCTATCGTTTCTTAACATAAGAGTTTCTCCAAACTAAATACATGTAGTTGAACTAAAGTGGAGATTTTGCCACCACATATACCTTTTTTTTCTTAATCTTAAGGTTTTTGGTGAATGTTTAGCAGGGGAATCAATAGAAGTAGTGCTGTATGCACTGTTCAAACTTACGAGAAGACTTGTTCATAATGATCTCCAAAACCATAAATATTAAAATAGCAGCCCCTGGGTAAACTCTTCAACAGGAGCATCAGAGTATCCTTCAAGGAAAAAGAAAAGAACGTAAATGCCACGATATGACAAGAGGGCCATAAATCATAAAATGGTTCTTCTAAAAGATGACCTTGGCACTTGCTATGCGACTCTGACGACTTCCGCAATACGTTGGGAAATCCATGCTCCCTGATCGATCCAGTAATAACACAAACTCTCCACAGTAGGTGAAATTAGACATCACAGATTCTGGAAATTCAGGATACAGGCTCACCATTATCACTGGATCACGCATCAGAGAGCCTGAAACAAATGTGAATGCAACATACCATCACAAGTTTGCGATTCCTCCTGTGATTGTATACAGCTCGTCAACATCATGGACAAAGTAAGCATTTAGTTTAAAAAACACCATCATAATTCATTTTCCCAGTCACAATTCTAGTAACGGATCCAAGTCTATTGATCTTTAGGTTTTGTGCCTAATTGTTAAGCCTCACATTAGCTAGTTTGGATTGTTTTCCCACTCAAACATGCAAGTTCACATTTGCAACATAGGTGAGGCTTAAGTTCTACTTTTTTGTCTAAATACTGTTTTTTTTTTATTTATTTATTTTTGTAATGTCTGATTTTAATAAATCTGTGCAATCACTAAAACTAGAAGTGGGAATTCAACTTATCGCGTTTTGACTCAGAATTTGTTTTCTTTGACCAGTTTTTTGGTCTACTCTGCAAATGTGAATTAGATTATTATCAAAACCTGGCACAGCACGTTATTAGTGACGTTTATTTATGATCTGTACATGAAAGTTTGTTACTTTCTAGGAGTCATTATCCATGCAGACACACCCTCTTTAAAACTCAACTTAAGATTCCAGAATGAAGACTTCATATTAAGATTTTTTTTCTGACAATAAAACTTTAACAGTGACACAATTAGCAAGAAAGACAGGGGTCACAGTAGTGTCATTGTTCATGCTTGCTCTTTCACTTGACCAGGGGAAACAGATAATTGACATCGTAGTGGACTGTCAAACAGTAATGCCAACTCTGAAGATTCTAATACATGCAGCATAAAAAGTGTTCCTCATACTTGTGATTTAGAGCACAAGTAATTACAAAGATGGGTGGCTACAAACCTTTTTACAATATTTCTAAGCTGTTTTAAAAGAGATGAAACATCTCCTAATCTTGCAAAAAGGAAAAACAAATCATAAACTATCTCTACCCACCAGGTTTAGCAGAGGCCTGTCCTGCCTCCACCACAGCAGAGGGCCGGTGGGCATCTTTGTAATAAATCAGTATCTCAATGTCTCTGTCAAACTTGTGTCCTGTAGCCAACTTCACCTATAGTTCATAAACACAAAAACAGGATTAAAATGATTTATCTTGTATGTACCAATCACGCCCAGCAGTATCATCAGCTCTCTACCCACCGTGGCCTGAGTTTGATCAACGTTGAGATACTGAAGAGGCTCCAGAAGACAACTGGACTCTATTTTAGAGATTGGACGAGGAGAGGACACTCTGGCCAAAAAGGACAGACTGTAGGGCACCAGAGAGGCTGGAACTGAGGTCACCTGCACACTAGGACCTTCACTACCTGGACACACAAGACAGAATAGACGTCCAGTATGTTTTAATAGTGTTTATCCACCTTTAATGTAACATTTATCTTGTACAATTCAGCTGCAAAATATTTTGATCTTTGAAGGTTTAGAAAAAGAAAAGCACACTTTTATCATCAAGTTGATGTAGTTTGTCAAATTAAACAGGATAGAAGTTTCAACGAGAGTTGGCATACTCTGCATGTTACATCACAGCTTCTACAATCAGAAACTGACTAAAATACATTCATGGGTGTGCCTCCAATTAACCCAGGGTTTCCAAAGTAATGATTTCATCACTTGGGAAATAGCAGTCATTCTGTATGTTAACTTCTGATTCTGAAGACATTAATACAAATTTACAAAAATCGACTATATATCCTTCATCTCATTATTGTGGCATTAGGCAAATAGAAATAATTTTTGTAATTCCAGCTAACCTAAAGCAAAGAGAAGTTTGGTTGGATGCAACTTCAGGCAGTGAAAAAAGGTACATGTGCCTTTTTCTTCAGTGAATGTAAACTTCTGGTTTCAACTGTTTGTCTTTCTTGAACAGAAGAAAGAATTAAGTAACTTGGCTCAGTTTGTTGACATTATGTTCTGCAAATATTTCATACTTGCGACATTTGTTTGGAGCTATTCTGCAATAACAGGAAATTACTGCTTTGTGTTGCGTAATAAAGCTGAACACTACACACAGTGGAAATTTCAATCACTTTATGGCCCCAAACTTAGCTATAGGTAGAAATTCCCAAAAAAAAAAAGACTTCAGGATTTATTGTTTGTTCATTAAGCACTCCAGTAATGTGTTAGAATTCACACCAAGATGAAAAATTAGCCATTTATTCCTAAAATAAAGCTCAAATGTGGCCTCATCACCCAACATTTTCTTTATAATGGATGACAGCAGCAACTGTGTGAAGTTTAGCATTTTTATTATCAAGTTGATTTCTGATTGTTTTCCTACCCTGAGGTTGGTATCGAGGGTTGAGAACAACAGGCAGACAAAACCTCAACCCATCATCAGCCTGCACAGCCAGCTCAGTGACGTACTCCAGCCTGATGGAGGCGCTCTCTCCTGGAGGCAGATTGCCCACAGTCAGAGAGAAGATATCTGGACTCTGCTCACTCTCCTCCAATTCGAATACCTTCTGACCAGAGCTCACAGCGTCCTCATACACCTGCCGAGCCTGGAGTCCACAAGAAACATGTCGGCAATGTCCACTTCACTGTGATTTGGCTCCTTTTTAGAGAGGACATTTGAGTCCAGCTCACCTGCTGTCTGTCCATCACCTCAGCTTCAATGTGTGTTTCTCCAATCTGAGCACTGAAATGACACACGGCAGCATCTCCAGGCAGAGGGAAGACAAAAACGGTCTCCAGAGGTTTGTCCTCCTTATTCTCGAAGTTCAGAGTGGAGACCAGAGTAGCTACATGGTCCTTCACCTCCAGCAGAACATCAATGCTCTTCAGAGGAACTGAGAAAGAAAGATCGTATTGTTGCAATAAAGGTCTTTTGGATGGCTTCTAAGACCACAGCCAGCCAGTTCTGTCTGAACGAAAAAATGTCTAAAAATAATAAATAAAAAGCTATAAATAAAGCTTTGGCACATTACCTGAATCTTTTTCAGGGGTCAGCAGACAAAATAGGTTGGACATCCTTCCTGAACTGAGTTTGTGAGAAGGAGAGAAGTTATTGGAAAATTATAAATTAACACAAATCTGATTCGAGATTTAAACATTGAAACTGGTTGATATGTTATCATAACTAAAGGTTTACAGTGTTACAAATATGAATCTTTTAAAACTTTAAATCAGAAGAGCTGTAACTCTGTGTTGTTTCCTACATTTTAAGAGATAACGCTGCTATAGTTAACCCAAAACACACATACCTTTACAACAACGCGCCTGTATTCAGGAGACAGGAGCAGTCAGGTCTTTTCTTTTGAATCCTTCAGGTTTCAGTGTCTGTTATTTACTCCAGTCTTGCACAACGTAACAGTTACTCCTCTTGGGAGCGCTCGTTTTAATACACGGGATAGGAGAAGGGGGCGGTGCTATTTCCCCGGTTCAGTTTACCATGCATAACTACCAGGGGGACAGGTTTGTCAGGGGGACAATACATTGATTATTTCTAATTGGGGCCTGCCCATAGCAATGCATAGGGAGAGCAGTGAAGTCAGTCACTACCTCCATGCACCTATTGTCCTTCACCTGAAAATAACTGCCACTTCCTACTGCTGCTAATGCAGTAGGAAGTGCACTTTTTTGCTATAGCGACATTTCAGACAAAAAAATATATATATCTGCCAAAATCAAAATCTCCAGGTCAAGCTTTATAAAGATCGGTAACCAGGTATTGACCAGAAAACTGGAATCGGTGCAGCCCTAAACATATTCATGACATTCTTTGATTAAATACATTTCTCTTAACAGTAACTCCACTAACTAAAAATGCAATTCATACCAGGTGAGTCTTTCTCTCCTGACATTGTGGATCAGTTCTGGACTGATTCTGAGCCTTAAAATGATTTTAACAGAAGTTTCACAAAACTTAGAAGTTGATGTAAAAATAATTGTTTTAGCCACAAAATGCTCAGCAGCAGGCAACATATCCCTACAGCACAGAGCAGTTCATCAATGTAGCCTGACATAAAAACATTTTGCTAGACAATGTCAAAGATTGACATCGACAATGTCAAACATTGAGGTAGACAATGTCAAACATTTTGCTAGACAATATCAAACATTGAGGTAGACAATGTCAAACATTTTGCTAGACAATGTCAAGCATTGAGGTAGACAATGTCAAACATTTTGCTAGACAATGTCAAGCATTGAGGTAGACAATGTCAAACATTTTGCTAGACAATGTCAAGCATTGAGGTAGACAATGTCAAACATTGAGATAGACAACGTCAAACATTTTTGCTAGACAATGTCAAACATTGTGGTAGACAATGTCAAACATTGAGGTAGACAATGTCAAACATTGTGGTAGACAATGTCAAACATTGAGGTAGACAATGTCAAACATTGAGGTAGACAATGTCAAACATTGTGGTAGACAATGTCAAACATTGAGGTAGACAATGTCAAACATTGAGGTAGACAATGTCAAACATTGAGGTAGACAATGTCAAGCATTGAGAAGTTTCAGTTATTGTTATCAAACGTTATCAAACTCATCGTTTTGATAAATACCTCAGAAAGCCGGGGCTGTGGACATTTGGATGCGCAGTGCACGTTGCACGGCAACTCGTGTTACGGGATATGAGTTTCATTGCAATGGGAAAACATTTGAGGGAAATAGAGGGGGCATGCAAATATCAGCAGGCTAATAATAGGCTTTGCAGTGAAATGCATCCCCCTGCTAACATGGAGAAATAAAGAGTTAAGAGTGAAATTACTTTTTTTCCATAATCACACTTGTTCTATGAATTACTGGTATAAGTTGTATATCAATAAAATAATATTTGGGGAAAACATATGGGGCCTGCATGAATTGGCAAGCAAATAATTTACTATGCCAAAAAACGCATCCCCCTGATAACTTGAAGGAATGAAGAGTTAAGAGGGATTTCATTTTTTCTATGTAATGACAGTTGTTCTCTGAGCTACCGATATAAGTTTCATATCAACAGGACAACAGACTCTTTAAAAGTTTCCTCAGCGGTCATATTTCAGCACGTTTTCTCATCAATATGGGAGGGTTTAGAGCGATGCGCGCTACCGCGACAGGGCATGCAATTCTCTGCAGGACCTCATGCATGCATTTCTCGGCATAACACGGCCCTGGATCCACCCACTCAGATCTTTCTCTGACTGAATCCGAAAGCACCCGGCAGGTTGGAGTTCATATTTCCTGCTGTAACTTGAGCGAAAAACAAAAGCGGACGAAGTTTCTTCAACAGCAATCTGAGGAAACATATCTGTCTGTTATCAGCAACTGTTCTTACTGGTAGGTTTTCATCTCATCTGCAATAGTTTCTGCTGTTCTGACGCGTTTGACGCTGAGATGGATCAAATCTATAGGAGCTGGCTCAATGACGTGACGCCCATTTATTATTTGTTTGTCGTCCGTAAATAAATGTATTGAATTCAAAATAGAATATCCAGTATCTGGAGCATAAATATTAACCACTAATACAGTATTTTCAAGTGATTGAAGATTTATTTATTTATTTTTTATCACAGTTTGATGAAATGATGAAGAAAAACAGTGATCAGGTCAATTAAAAATGGCTTTTCACGGTTCTTTGGGGGGGGGGATTGATAGAAAACTATCAAAAAACTTTGAAACTTTTGATAGAAATGCAAAAACTTTGTTTCTAAACACCTTAAAAATGGAAATTTATCAAACAAATGTTTAATGCATCATAGAATATACCTTATTTTATGACAAATCACGGTTGCACCACACTTTTTAAGGCCACAGTCAAATCATATTAATAAAAAAAAAATTCTGAAACGGTCTCATTTTAATGTTAAATTGTAATTTCTGTGTGCACAACATTTCAAATGTTCTAGTAATTACAATGGATAGCCTATACATATTTTTAAACATTTTTAATTTAGCCTGGAGGAAATCCTTAAATGTCAATGATCCAGCTGCAAACTGTTGTATTTTGAACAATTGTTGGTTTTAGTTACTATTATTGTTATTTGCAGCAATGTTTTCCTAAGTACAAGAAGGATAAAACATCATTTGTTGTCCTTGTTTATAATATGACAACCCATCATTTTCCAGAAATGTCCTCCTACTATTTCCAGTATTACACGTCTCTCCTTCTTGTCTCACAGGAACAATGGTGAACTGCTGTGGTCTGCTCACTGACAAGAAGGAACCAGGTACCCAGCTGTTCCTAAACAGCCTATAATAACAGATTTTATGGTTGCCTGTACCTCAGTCATGTCCTCTTTTTAATCTAATTGATTTATTGGTTTCTTCAGCATAGAAGGAACAATAAACAGTTTTATTGACATATTTAAACATTTCTTATGGTTCATTCATGTCTTTCTTTTGCTGATTTAGTTCCTCTGAAGAGCATTGATGCTCAACTGGAGGTGAAGGACCATGTAGCTACTCTGGTCTCCACTCTGAACTATGAGAACAAGGAGGACAAACCTCTAGAGGCTGTGTTTGTCTTCCCTCTGCCTGGAGATGCTGCCGTGTGTCATTTCAGTGCTCAGATTGGAAAAACACACATTGTAGCTGAGGTGAAGGAGAAACAGCAGGTGAGCTGGAACAAAGATGTCTTCTTTATGAAGAAGCTGAAACACAATAAAGTGAACATTGCTGACATGTTTCATGTGGACTGCAGGCTCAGGAGGAGTATGATGATGCCCTGAGCTCCGGTCAGCAGGCCTTCCTGTTGGAGGAGAGTGACGAGAGTCCAGATATCTTCTCCATGAAAGTGGGCAGGCTGCCTCCAGGAGAGAGCGCCTCCATCAGGCTGGAGTACGTCACTGAGCTGGCTGTGCAGGCTGATGATGGGTTGAGGTTCTGTCTGCCTGCTGTGCTCAACCTCGATACCAACCTCAGGGTAGGAAAACCAGCTGATAGATGGATGCACAAATATACATTTTAATTACAAACTAAGTGACTCCCAGTTTTCTCTCATGTTGTTTCCAGGTAGTGAAGGTTCCAGTGTCCAGGTGACCTCAGTTCCAGCCTCTCTGGTGCCCTACAGTCTGTCCTTTTCTGCCCGAGTGTCCTCTCCTCGTCCAATCTCTAAAATAGAGTCCAGTTGTTCCCTGGAGCCTCTTCAGTACCTCAACGCTGATCAAACTCAGGCGACGGTGGGTAAAGAGCTGATGTTACTGCTGGAGGTAGTTATTACAAACAAGATAATTCACTTTCGTTTTTTTTATTTCTGTTTTTGAATTATAGGTTAAATTGGGTGGAGGACACAAGTTTGACAGAGACATTGAGCTACTGATTTATTACAAAGACGCCCACCAGCCCTCTGCTATAGTGGAGGCAGGACAGGCCTCTGCCAAACCTGGTGAGAACCGATTACTTGAGGTGTTACTGATTATTAATTGTTGGAATGTCAGAAAGTTTGTTTGTTTTCTTCTCTCATACCTATTCCTATGCTCCAGGCACTCTGATGGGTGATCCAGTGGTGATGGTGAGCCTGTACCCTGAGGTCCCCCAATCAGTAATATCATCCTCTGGCGAGATTGTGTTCTTAATCGATCGATCAGGAAGTATGGACTGTCCCATAAACAACAGCACACCAGAAACTCGCATTAGCAGCGCACGGGTATTTATCCATGTTTTGAGACAATATTTGACATTATTATATTTGGAAGATAGTAGTTCATCCTATAATAATAGAAAGGTTGCTCATTCAAGCCTTACTTCATCTGTCATTGTGTCCCTGAGTAAGACACTTCTTTCTAGCTGATGGTGGTCAGAGGACTCGGTGCCACTGGTCAAACCTTCCCAGGCCATGTGTAGGTAGATAGGCAGAGAGCAAAGGAGGGAGAGAGAAGAGGGAATGGGGAAAGCATTTCCTGAATTATATACATATCAAAATACATCTACTTTGTTGAAACATTGTGCTCTCGTAAATATTCGCCACTTTACCTTAACATTGTCAAAGTCTAATTTGCTGGGATTTGAATGATCTGGATAAGACATTGACTTGATTTGAGAGTTTCTATGTAATAAAAAGAAATCTCAACTATTGCTTAATGTGAATGCATTTTCATCTCTTAGTTGATCTTCTTTTCTTCCTGCATCTGTCTTTAGGACACTCTGCTGCTCCTGTTGAAGAGTTTACCAATGGGCTGCTACTTCAACATCTACAGTTTTGGATCCACCTTTGAGCACATCTTCCCGTGAGCGTCATCTAACCCATCATCACAACCTCTTCCCATAGAATTCTATTAGATTTTTTTACTATCTGTGTTCACAGCAGATTTCATGTGAAACTGGTGATTTGGGCATCATTTCAAGAG